AGTATGGAGGGATATTGACACGTTTTTTGTGAACGTTTATGGGCCATTCTGTCTCGGGCACCATAGACCTCCATTATTTGAATGTCAGCAGACAGCAAGAAGCCTCCCAGATCTCCAGATGCATTTGAGATATCAAAAAAGTACTCCAGAGTGTTGTTCAGCATGGGGGTGAGTAGAAAATGAAGGCTAATCATGTTTTGGGTGTACTATTCCCTTAAGCAATTTGCCCATTCGAGCGTCAACCATAAACCAGGCTTAATTGTTGTCTGGTTGAAAAATTCTACGAGACCTAAAGTTCCATTAAAGCCACCAAGGCTCTTTGGCTGCTTCTTCAAATAAAGCACAGCTTATCTGCCTGGTCAATAGTCATGAAAAAAATGTCCATCAAATGTATAGTTTAGTGCCAGTTTTAATCACTCTAGGTATAAAATCAAATAGAATGAAATGTAGATATTCTACCCAATATGTCTGTTTATTCAGTGTCGAGTTTTATGCAAAATCAAGATTATTTCATCGACAGTAAAACAATTTATTTTAAAACATGTACAATTTATTATCTTTAATAAGTTGATCATATACATCTATTTCCACAGCCATAGCAATAATAATAATAATTATGCATTTTATTTCTAAAGCAATTTACATTTGTAAAATAATAATCTCTTAGTAGTAAAACAGATTTTTTCTAAAAGCTTTATAAAGATTTCACAGATTGGGAATCTTTCATTATAATAAAAACTGTCATAAACTTCAAAAGCAACATTAGGATAAACTTTAAAATATTTTTTTTATCCCCCACTTTATATTTCCATAATTTTGTTTAATTCAGGTTTCAGGAGAGACACTTGTTAGATGGATTAAAGGTGTTCAGATATTCAGCTGCATGATCTGCAGGGCTGTAACCTGAATATATCTGAACCTAAAACAAGTCTGATGCAACCAAAGACAGACAAAACTCCTAAAATCTGAATTATTCCCCCCAAAATTATTCTTGGAATAATTAGAGTTGGAAACAGAAGCCCTGGGTAAACAGCCGACGAAGATTTATGGACAGTCTGGGAAGACAAATTAGTCTGTAATGATGAAATAAGTTGCTGCTAGGAGATTCAATAAAAGGTGAGCGTCCCAAACCTGAAATCCAATTTACTGGCTTTGGTTTACTGAGGAAAGGCTTTGAGTAAACATATGCTCATCGTCAGAAAAACGCAGCAGCAACCTCTTTTTAATGCTGAAGGTGGAGCTGAGAGGCCCTGTCTAAGATACTAAGGATGCATTTTGAGTAAATAAAATCTGCACGGCTACAACAGCGTCCTGAAAATACATTATTTGTCAAATAAGTTTATACATAAAATACACAAGAGGGGTCAAAAGAAATCAAGACTGGTGAAACTGAAAGTATCCACTGAACTCCTTCTCCTAAGTAAAAATACAAAGGTTCTACAAAGGTAAAAGGAAGTTTTTGCCCTAAATGGTTAAAAAAAACTTTAAAAAACTATTCTTAAAAAAATAATAATAATAAAAAAAATTATAGGCACAGAAAATATATTAATTGTAATTTTTTACCCAATTTGTCAGTTGAGAGAACATGAAAAAAAACTGACTTGGTTTAGTTTTGTTCCAAGTTAAAAATGTCACTCCTGCATGAACAGCTGAATACTTTTAAAGTTCTGAAATTCACAGCATTAAAGTTGCTTTTTTAAAATTGAAACAGAACTTTAAACAGAACATACATTTATAAATTTATAAGGGAGAAATGGATGGTAAGAGTGGTGATCTCTTATCTGCAATGTTTCATTTTACATTATATTTGTCCTAAAAGCAATTTAAATAGCAGTAAACTGGTAAATAGCATATTTAGAGCAAACCTGATCTCATTAGGAATCTCCTCTTCTTCATACTTGTTCTTATTCCTCCAGTAGAAGAGTGTGACCACCACTAGCAGCGAACAGATGATTACAGCCAGGATTCCAGTAGCAATGGTCCCTGCGATCAGACCGACACTCTGGGGCTGAGCTGCAGGGTGAACAGAGGAGAGTCTGAATAAGTGCAACAAAACCAGCCAAGAAACTGATCACCAGCTCCTGTTTATTCTGTAAATAACAATAGAAGTGCGGCATCCATTAGCGATCAGTCGAAACAGGTAAAATGCAGAGATGGGAAGTAACAAAGTACAAATACTTCGTTACTGTAGTCAAGTAGATTTTTCTGATATTTTTACTTTACTTTACTACTTATTTTTATGGCGACTTTTTACTTCTACTCCTTACATTTTTACACAATGGCTCGTTACTTTAGTTTTGAATCATTTCAATGGAGTTACCGTTATTATTTTTCACGTCATCAATACCAAATTCAGTCCAATTGGATGGGAATCTACGTTGCATTTGACGCAGCACTACAAGATGAATCGACAGATTCGGCGGTATTCATTGGCGGCAAATCATTGCAGCTTGGTGGCGGTGGCGTTAGCATAGTAGCATGGACGATGAGATGATTGAAAATGAACACAACGGAGATCTAGTCCTATTGGCAGACATCCATTTAAAATGTAGGCAACGGCATGAAAAAAGTGGTTTCTACTTTTACTTTTATACTTTAAGTAAATTTACAAGCCTGTACTTTGTTACTTTTACTTGAGTAAAGAAGTTTAATCAGTACTTCCACTTTTACCAGAGTATTTTTTAACACAAGTATCTGTACTTTTACTCAAGTATGGAAAGTGAGTACTTTTGCCATCTCTGGTTAAATGCTATGCCAAAACAAGATGTTCAACAATGCGATATTAAATTTCGTAGACCTAGACAACTTTTATTGGAAAGACATAAAGACATTTATTACAGCTTTCAGTCATAACATAAAACAAATAAAAAATCAGATCAGATATATTTAAATATAGACCTGATATCATTTAATTTGCCACAAACAAGAAAAAATCATGAGGTCAAATGTGGTCTTAAAGCTGAGTGTAACTGCTTCATAGAATACCACCAGTATATGCGGGTGATATGTTACCTACTGTAAATTAAATTAAAAAAAGCTAATGAGTGAAGGTTAAAACTTTTTGTGGAGTTAAAAAAGTGGAAAAGTTTATTGCAACTTACTTGGAAAGTTAATAATCTGCATCAAAAAGGTAAAAATGTAGGTTTATGATTGAAGAGAAGCTACACAGTTTCTGAGGACACTGCCAATTGTGGCTAAATCCAAGAACTGCAGCTTTCTTCTGCTAATTCTGATAGCATGAGCTTGTACTTAACAAGTTGATTTTTTTTACTTTTTTGAACTCCCATGTCTGAGTTGAGCTGGATGCAGGTCACTTCTGAGTATCGACAAAGTCCATCTTGTATATAACACTTCAATTGTTTGCTAGGTTGGACCCATTCAACATGGAGACGCTTAACGTCACATCCGCTGAACAGCGCAGGAACTTCTGACCCCAGGTAAACTCAGGAAAATACGCCGCAGGCTTATAGATGCATCGGGCTGAACTACTGAGGTGCCAGGCTGCTCATCAAATTATGTTTTGGTCGTAAAGGGTCCAAAAAAAGGCTGTTTTAAATATATTTCTCAATTAAAACTAACATAATGTCTCTTTAACTTCTGAGAGTTGTCAGTTCCTTTCCCTCTAAGTGTTTTTCTCAAACTTATTATAGAAGTACTCTCAATTTTTTCTTTTTTCTTTTTTTTTTTACCTTATTCGGGCAAGGGACTGTTTTTGGTAATTAGTTTACCTTATTTTTTTAATATCACAAAGATAAAAAGGTTTGGTAAATCAAATAGTTTAATTTTCACATTTTGGTATCGCCGTCATCTAGCAATAGAGGGGTTGCTCAGCAGACACTACTGGAAGGATATAAAATGACTAAAGCTAAAGCAAAATGCAGACAGATCCTATAGATAGATCAGATCAATGACCTATACTGGCCTTGTTTTTGTTTTTTTTCTGCTGTTGCTGTCAAAAGTGTCAATATCTGCTCTGAAAAAACTTCTGACTCTTTCTTTTTTGCTTGCATTGCTGATCTTTTCTGACATGTGTCGCTGACTTTATCCCCTATTGTCATCCTCGTAACTCTCATATCCCTTCAACTCTTGAAAATATATGCTTACTTAAATACAAAATAAAAGACACAATCAAATATATTCCGTAGATATATATCGGTGGCCCCGGCCCCCTGGGGCCCCACACAGTGGCTCTGGCTGTCAGACATCTCACTGTCTGACAGAGCAGCACAACTTCTGGTGTTTATTTTATAGTTATTTATTTTTATTTAAATTACATTAGTACGCACACATATTATGGATTCAAATTATCGATTGATGTATTAAGGTTATTAATCTTATTGGTGAACTTATTAATTATTAAGCTGTGTTTTTGACAACAAAAAGCTACATTTTCTCTTGTAAAAAGAGGATCTTGCCATAGTATGAAAGCTTAAATACTTTTTTACAAAATGCTGAGTCTTGCTAACGATTGTTGATATTATTATAATAACTGCTGTTTATTATATTTTAATTCTGAACAAAGCATACATTTTTATAATCACTTATTGATCCCTCTGTGGGTTTTTATTTTTCCTTTTCCCCTCCTTTATATCAGTGTAACATTTCACATTCCTCCACCTTCTGTAATCTCTTATTGTTTTTTTATTTAAACCTCATCCTTAAAATAGAGACATTTATTACAGTGGGTGAAGAAGGATTATTTCCACTCTATTTTCTAAACATAGTAAAGTTAATAATCTAAGAATAAAAACCTGCTTGTTGCCATATTTCCCAAATTTAAGGACATTTATGACCAAATATATTTCATTTTCTTTATAGAAGCCGTGGTTTCTGTCTTTTGCTGCATTTATTTTACTTACGCGCTACAACCTCCAGGTTTAGCACACATGTGCTCTTGCCAATAGCATTGCTGGAGGTGCACTGGTAGAATCCTGAGGTGCTGGTGCTTATATTTCTTAGCGTGACCGTGCCCTGCATCTGGTCTGAAGGGACACACACACATACACAGAGAAAAATATATACTTGACTGACAACAACACAAATGCATAAACTGTTTTCCCTGAAAAGTTTGGTACATTAATTCAGACTTATTTTTAACACTGTAAATGCAAAATAAAGACATGTTCTACTAACAACCTATAGGGGGAGCTGATTGCCTGCTAAAGCTAAGCAGGAAATAGAGAATGTTTTGCAGCTAATCAGTTAGGCTGCTGTTTCTGCATGATGAAAGATGAATGGATTGAGGTGGATGATAAAGTTCACACATCTGTACCCTCCTGGTATTATATAGTGTATGTGGGATTGACATCTAAATATTTAGCGTAACATATGTATGCTTTACAGTAAACAAACATTGATTAAAGTGTGAAATCCCAGAATCTCACATTTATATGAAAATGCAAAGAGCAGAAGGATGTTAAGAAAGTTCAAAATCAAGACAGCAGGAACATTTACATTAAGATTTCCTTTCATTATTGGTATCATTTCTCTAATCTTTAACGGTTTCTGGTGTCACTATTGAACATTCTTCTTGCAGGAAATTGATGAGCTCATTATATAATTAGGTAGCTGTTTCCTGCAGCATAGATTACTCTGTAAAGATGAAGGCCTGTAGAAAAGTTCATACCAATTAAAATAAAACAGTTTTGATGAGTGTTTTGGACGGCTGTTGATTCACAAGCACCAAGTGGGACGTTGTAAGATGGTTTTTACAGTCATGAGGACAGGATCCATGAAAGCATGAAGGGCCAAAATCAGAGATAGATTGATACATTGGCAGGCAGATATTATAGGGTAATATGTATAAATATATATATTCTTTACTTGTATTGGTATCAGCCAATACATCCGAGTGTTTGCAGTCATTAGTTATTTCAGCAGCTGTGCATTCCTGCTCCCTTCATTTGCTACTAACTGTTAAAGTTTTCTTAGATTTTTCTTTTTCTTTGTTTTAACTTGACCTGTGTACCATTTATAATCATTGTGTCATTTTTTTTTTCAAATGGAGGAAGATAAACCTGAAGATTGGTCCAAATAAAACAGCAGAACATTTTGGGGATCAGTTAAACTGATATAAAAAAGAAAAAAAAAAAAAAAAAAAAAAAAAAAGGCATCATTCATTACAAAAACTTGTATTTGTTAATCTCTAGCCAACTTCCAATCAAATAAGTAAATGTACCATGAAATAAGTACATTTACTATTTATGTATTAGTGTAATAGATAATAGAAATGTTACATATACCATTAAAATGCAAAATTAAACATTTAATAATAAAATGTACAATTAATAATTAAGAATTCAATTAAAATGCTTGTTTATGTTGTTGAATGTCATCTTTAAAGAATAAATTGATTTAAAAATTAAAATAATGCTTCACTTTATCATAATATTAGTTTTGAGATCACACGCTAAAATATTTTGGAACCCCATGTTTAAGCTAAGGTGAGAAATATGTAGGAATCTTGCTTATCTTATACTGGAACCTTAGCATGATAGAACCTCCACCATGCTTGGGCCTTATTTTGACCTTGTCTGGAGGAGAAAATCTACTCGAATCAAAATACTCGATTTCAAAATCCATTACAATTATTTGTTGCGAGATCATTTCATCCTTGCGAAAGTAAAGCTATGCTGCTCAATGTGGTCTGATTTTATTAGTGATAATTAGTGCATATAATCTTCTGGTGCCAAAGTTTCTTAAAATATGACTTATTGGGTAAAAGAGGCAGATTAGGTAGATTTCATTGTGGGGGGTTTTTTCAATTCACAATTAGTGAAAAACATTTATAGAAGCAGTTTTTAGCCCCAAGGCTATTAGCCGCTATGTTTTCAAAGAGCTCGTTGCCAAACAAGAAACTAGTCAATGACTAATGATGATACCTGACGTTGCTTTAACAAAGACATCATGTTTTTATTTTCTGGTTGTTGAAATATGATCACTTTTAGCTATACAGCATGTATAGGTCACTATTGCGTTTCTGGAACAGTGGTCTGTTCTCTGCATTTTATGAACTCGGTGGGTAGAAACTTCTTTTTTTTTTTTTGTTTACCAGTAGGGTACAGGCATGTGTTTCTTTTTCTGGAATACAAACTTGGAAAAGAAAGGAAGGTCCACTCTACTGATCAGATGCTGAAAACCATCCTGATAACACTTTTTAAGATTTAATAGAATTCAGTGTTGGCAGAGATGGTGGCCAGCATGAAGTAAATAAGGAACCATGTAGAGGTAACATCCACCCATCCATCCATCCATCCATCCATCCATCCATCCATCCATCCATCCATCCATCCATCCATCCATCCATCCATCCATCCACCCATCC